GTATTTTTGAGACAGGGTCTCCCTGTAGCTCCAGCTGTCCTGGAACTCACTATGTAGACCAGGCTGGCCTTGAACTCACAGAGATCCACTTGCCTCTGCCTCCCAAGTGCTGGGACTAAAGGCATATGCCACCACACCTGGCTCTTCTGTTTGTTTTTAAAAAATGTTTGTTATTATTTCAATCAGGGTGTGGTGGTTCACTACTGTAAACCCAGCATTTGAGAGGTAGAGGTGGGAATATCAGGAATTCAAGGCCAAACTTAGCTACACAGTGAGTTTCAAGGCCAGCTTGAGCTAAATAAGAACCTATTTTTTTAAATGTTTATTTCCAAGGAAAGGGCAATGCTTAGCATAATCAGGAAGTATTTAAAAGGTTTCCTAAAATTTGGGCCTAGCTCACTGGCAGCTCGCTTACCTAGTGTATTAGCTACTGTGACAAAATACCTGACAAAAGGAAGTTAGAAAATAAGTTTTATTCAGTATGAAGATGCAGTCCATCATGGCAAGGAAGGCATGATGGCAGGAGAGGCAGCTGGTCACACTGTATCCATAGTCAGGAAGCAGAAAGAGGAAAGCTGGTGCTCAGCTCTCTCTCTCTCTCTCTCTCTCTCTCTCTCTCTCTCTCATGTGCACGTGCTCTCTTTCTCTTTGTGTTGTCTGTGATTAGTGTGTGTTGTGCTTATATATGTGTGTGCTTTTTCATCTGTCTGTACGTGCATGGGTGTAAGCCAGAGGCTGACATCGGGTGTCTTCCGCTACTGCTGTCCACCTTACTTTTTTTTGAGACAAGGTCTCACTGAACCTGGAAGTCACCATTTGGCTAGACTAGCTGGCCCATGAGTCCCCAGGAAAGTTCCCACTTTCCAAGGATGGGACTATAGGAGAGGACCACCATGCATAGCTCTCTACACTGTGCCCCTGTGCTTGCACAAAAAGCACTTTACCAACTGTGACATCTTCACAGCCCTCACTTTCTCCTTTTCACTCAGCCCAGGACTCCTGTCTATTTATGATGCCTCTTACATTCATGGTGTGTTTTCTCTCCTCAGTCAAACCTTTCTGAAAACACTGTCATAGATAGACCTGGAGATGTGTTTCTATGGTGATTCTAAACCTAATCAAGCAATAATGATTTTCCATCACATCTGGTATGTATGCGGGCCTGGCTGTGATACTCAGCATCACAAAACAAAAACAAAATAAATGAGGAAAAGAGGAGGAGGAGGAAGAGGAGGAGGAGGAGGAGGAGGAAGGAAGGAAGGAAGGAAGGAAGGAAGGAAGGAAGGAAGGAAGGAACTTTTTGAAAAGGAAACACATCTCCCCAACACAAATTTCTCACAATGCAGCTGGTGCCTTTTTTTGCAAAAATATTCACCTTTATTTGAGTAAATGTGGTCATTCTGTTTGAATATATAATGCTTTAAAATCTTACATGGTTTAGTAATTAAAGTCTAACTTCTTACCAGTTATTTATTGGTCCTGTCTTACACTAAAGACAGATTTCATCAGTTTCCTTGTGGGCAAATGTGTCCATGAAGCTCTGGATTAAGGAATGATGGCTAGAATGTGTGTCCCCATCTGAAGAATTTCAGAAGCAGTGTTAGGAAGTCTGGAAGTTCATATGGAACAAAATCGTTCCCTGGAACCATCCAGGTTCATGAAGCAAGATGGGCAGCCTGTTTCCAGACCTGCTCAGAGAGTGTACACTGCACTCTGGGAGCTCTTCTGGGGATCAGGCATCTCTGTCCATCAGCAGAGAGGGTCATCGCTCAGGAGCCTTCCCAGGGTACCTGAGAGGGGGGACAATCTTATTCCCCATAAACCTCCACTCAAAAGCCAAGGAACTTTTTCACGGTGTGTGTGTGTGTGTGTGTGTGTGTGTGTGTGTGTGTGTGTATGTGTACGTGTGTATGCAGAAGGTTTCCATTCTGACCTCCCTCCACCTGCTCTACCCTCCCTTCTCCCCCACCTACATCATTTCACAGGTTTCCCAAATTTCAGCTCTAGTCATACAACTGGCATAGCATGCCCTGAACCCCATATTCTTTGTTAGCAGCAGGAGGAACAAGGGGGGAGTGCTTTCCCCACCTGCAGGGCAACCTGGAAAGGGCAGCACCGGAACAATCATAGCTGGGATGACACCGGCTTGGTACAGTTCTATGCTTTGGATTTTAGACGGATTAATCTAGTGCTTCTACTTTTGGTGCAAATTTAGAGTCTTTGGATAACACTTCCAAAAATCAAGCACTTCAGGCCCCTTATAACTTTGGTTGAATAGGACTAGTGACCTCAGATAGTCATTTTCTTTTAAAAAAACTTTTTTTGATTTATTTTTTAAATTTTTAATTTTTTTGGTCTTTTTGAGACAGGGTCTTCCTGTAGCCCCAGCTGGCCTGGAATTCTCTATGTAGACCATAGAGTCTTAACATTCTGTTAAGACTTGGTTTCTTAAATAGTCAAAAAGCCTGAGAAAATCAAAAGAAAACACAAGCAATTACCTCAATAAAACATAACACTTTGTCCTTTAAGGCAGTATTTTGAAGTTGCTGCTAAGAGCAGGACAACACTTTTGTGAAACCCTTACTGTTTTGGACACAGAGAATTAGGTTCTAGGTTTACATCGGCGCATTAAAATGTGAACTTAGAAAATCTTTCCAATAAATTTACATTTTGAAACACTTTTTACGAAATTTTGAATTTTGACAAAATTATTTGTTTACTTATTTATTCATGTGTGTGCGTGTTTCTGAGTATATGCAAGTCTGTGTGTGCAAGAGTGCAAGGAGGCCAGGAAAAGGTTTCTGGTGTCCTCTGTCACATTTGGCCTAATCCTTTGAGGCAAAATCTCTCCTGGAACCCGTGGTTTACATTTCTCAGACTGAAAGCCAGCAAACTCCAGTGATCCTCCTGTCTCCAACCCCTTCAGAGCTGGGGTTAAAGGCATTTGTGGGGATGCCATGCTTGTTATGTGATGCTGGGCTCTGAACTCTGGCCTGAATAATTATGGAGCAAGCACTCTCAATTGCTAAGTCATCTCTCCAACCCCTAGACAAAATTATTTCTTTACAAAATATTACTTTTTAATAGTTTTTCCCCATTAAAACAGTTTAAATGCTTTCATAATTTCCACATATAGAATTATACATGCTAATTAGAAGTTTAGCTCTAAATAATCTCGCTCTCAGCAAAGACTCAGGAGGAAAGCAATCAAATGCTTTCTTTATACAGTAGCAATTTATGAAAACATTTTTGGTGATAGTCTAAAATATATTTCCAAAGAGAGCTTAGTTCAAATTGTATTTATTATGGAATGAAACAGATTAGAATAACTAGTCTACATGACTGCACTTAAAGATTTATTTACATGAGTACAGAGCCCGCAGAGGCCAGAAGAAGGTGCTAGATCCTGTGGAGCTGGAGTTACAGATGGTTGTGACCCAGTAACGCTACTGATGAGGGTGCTGGGAACAAAATTCCAGTCCTCTGCAATAGTAGCGAACATTTTTAACTGCTGAGCCATCTCTCCAAACCCTGAAGCCAAATTTTAAGATACCTTTTGTAAGCCTCTAAGCAGGCAACAACAGCTTGGATTTGAAATGACCAGTTATTTTTTTTTTAATTGAATTTTTGTGTATTTCATACAGAATATCTCATATACTCTTAATCATCTTTATACCCCCGTTCCCACTAGTACCCTCCCATAGCCCCCACACTGGAACCCGTATACTCTGTCATCTGTATTAAAGGCCCAATGTGTCAAGTCAGTGTCCCCAGACGTTCCCCAGTGCAAGCCCATCCACTGAGGTCTAGTCAGCCTATCTAGAGTCTCTTGTTTTAGGAAGATCAGCTCTTCCTCACCTACCAGTAACAAGTTGCCAATGTTTCTTCAGCTAAGATTGGGGTCTGCTGTTCATCTCCCCAGTTCTATGCTGGGTTTTTTTCTGCCTGAGTTTGCATGGGCCTTTTGTATGCTGACACCATTGCCATAGAATCATATAAGCAGGGTCCCAGGAGCTTGTAGGACTCATTTCCATATGGTTGTGCACCTCCTCCCTGGCTCTTACAATCTTTCTGCCTCCTCTTCCGCAATGGTCCCTGAGCCCTGGGTGGGTGAAGTTTAATTTAGGAGTCCTGTCCATAGACCAGCATTCTGCAGATTCTTAATCTCTACATTTTGGCCATTTGTAACCTTTTATGTTCCTAGCCCTCTGTTGCATGAGGGATCTTCATTAATGAGAACTGAGAGATCCATTAGTGTCGTCTTCATTACCCCTGTTCTATGTTCTGTGTGCCTTAGGTGTAGATATTCTATTTCCTTCATTTCCTTCAATTCCAGATTCTAGGCTTAGCTCTTAAATGCCTGCATAGCTAGGCTTGGTGAAGATAATGACCTTGAATACCTAGTTTTTCAGACGAGATATCAGCTGAAGAGGTAACAAAACAAAACAAAGCAAGAAACAGAATAGTCAGACAACCAGTTCTCCCCAAACACCAATGCTACAATTACCAGATTATCCCCCAAATACTCATATTCACACACAATTAAAATTATGCATGCCAAGAATAGTGACTTTAGTGTGCAGTAAGTTTGAAAAATGCAAAAATGAAGTGGCCCATAGGTCTATTTCTCAGTTATTTTAAGGAATTCTAGGGGCATATTAAGTTTTGCCCATGGTGTCTGTGATGGTTAATCTTTACTGTCAATTTTCTGAGATTTAGAATCACCTAGGAGACAACCCTCTGGGCACATGTGAGGTGTTTTTAGACGGGCTGAATTCTGCTAGGAAGAACCACCCCAAGTCTACATGGAGCCATTTGATAGGCTGGAGTCCCAGCCTGAATCAAAAGGGGAAGGTGGTGAACCATCAGCATGCATCTCTCTGCTTCCTGACTGTGGACACAACGTGACTGTGGATTGGACTGCCATGCATTCCCTACTGTGATGGACTCTACCCTCAACCTATGAGCCAAAATAAATCTTTCTTAAGTTGCCTTTGTCAGATATTTTGTCATAGTAAAGAGACAAGTAACTACTGTGGTTTCTTAAGGCCTATTTGGGTCATCTTGGTGGTTAAAGCAAGAATCAATGCTAGGCAAGGGTTTGAGATTCATAAAATGTATTGCTTAATAGAACTCTTTTCCAGAGTTTCACAATAGGATGGACACCCACTCTCATGGGCTTTGTCAAGGCCCAGCACCAAGGGATGTGAGGAAGATCAAGGTATATACTTTCTGATGAGCTGTTGGAATTCCTCCTAACCCAGGAGTGGGGTATGTTCTATGAGACTGACACACATCATTGAATCATGCACCCCTCACATATTCATTAAGGCCTTAGTCACCCAGGGTCACACACAGTAGGCCAGAAGGAGGATTGCCTCTTGTCTCCAGAACCCAGGAGACCCTCCTATAGATAAATCTCTAATGGAGCTGTTGCTACAGCCCTCAGATTTTTCTACCTCTACCAAGCCAGTCTAACAACACAAAAAAATTCAGAGTGCACTCTTAGATAAATAATTATAAGTTTAAGAAAGATGAGTTAAATAGAATTCTCCTTAGAGCACACCAGAATTGCATAGGCTTAGTACTGTCTATGGTGACACAGCTTACAATAGCGATTTCTCAAACACTCCTACTTGTGTGCCTTACACCCCTTCCCTTCAGTTACAAATACAGAATTACAGAATTCAACTTCCCTGCCACATAAGCATACACCCGAACAAGTCAAAATAATCCTAAAAGTTCCAAAAAGCTACCAAAATAAGGCTTGTCAGAAAAATGGCAGATGCCCAAATAGTGCAACAGAGCCCCAAGATTGGCACAAAAGAGCCATCAAGACAAGGAACTCAACTTCCTGTCAGACAAATGGCAGAAATTCTGATTAGTTTAAAAAGAGCTCAAACCATTCAGAAAGCCTCCAAACTGACAAGGTAAAGGAAGAACAAGGTCCATGTACACCGATTGGGGAGGACTTACCAAAGGTCAGACCTTATGGCCCAAGGAGTCCAAATGCTTCATTAACTAGAGGCAGAAAGCAGCCATTTCTAGCCAGAGTGATAAGAAAAAGTCCCAAGAATAAGAGAAATTCCAGAAGCTGTATGGGAACATTCAATCTTTCTTCTCTGGAATTGACTTGCTGCAAGTGGCTGATGAATAAAAGATCTCTCTCCTCCTGCTTGGCTTGCTAAAGTTGTAAAGCTGTAACCAAAGATGTTAAGGCAAAAGCCAGGGCTTTGCAGCCTCAATAGGCTAGTCCCAGCCACCCCTCTCCAGGAAGCCAATTAAAGAGAGGAGTGATGGTCAAAAGGAAAGGGAGGAGGATTATTCAGTATGGCCACACTGGGAAGAGGGACAGATAAAGGAGTTCAGTGACCCCCTCTCCCCGCCCCAGTCTATTATCAAGTGCTGAGGGGAGCTTTGACGGGAGCATGCACAATGAAGCAGTCTTGCTCCTGGTGTGGGCTCTTGATCACCATCTCAGCCCTGGGTTTTCAAAGTGGTCCAAAAAAGTCCTTATTGCTTGAGGGTACAAAGTGGCTCTCAGGAGATGATTACTTCTGGATGAGGACAATGGCATCTTGGTGTCTTCAGCCAAAATGAAGGAGACAAATGCACAGAGAGCAGAGGCATCAGGTGCTCATCCTGCGTTAGTTACCTTGTAGGCCCAAGTGAGGAGAATTGTATTTTTTTTTTTTTATTTTTTAGGAAAGACAGGCTCTGAGTGCCTGTTTCATTTCCAGATCCAAACCAAGCAGTGGCTACTCTAAAAAATTATTTATTTGTTTTTATCTTATGTGTATGAGTATTTTGCCTGTGTGGATGTAAGTATACCATGTGGAGGTCAGAAGAGCCATCAGATCCCCTGGAACTGGAGTTATGGATGGTTGTTAGCTGCCACATAGGTATTGGGAACCAAACTTGTGTCTTCTGCAAGAGTAGACAGTGTTCTCAACCACTGAGCCATCTCTCCAGCCCCAGCAATGGCTGCTTCTTATACAGAGGTTATATTGGGTCAGGTAACTTAGACTTTTTGTACTCTTAGACGATGAAAGAGACCATTATTTCCCAGATAGAGTTGGGCTTTCCCTCAAGTTTTGCATTATTTAAAATAAACATGACTTTATGTTTAGAACCTTTAAAAATAGTCTAGAGCATTCCGTTGTGTTCCTTCAGTCTGGCTAAGGAGCCATTGTATTCATGTGCACAGACTTCAGGCACACTGTTTTTGATGTTGCAGTTTTCAGACTCAGAAGCCTGTGTGTGACACCCAGCTCACAATTAAATGCAGACTGCAAGATGAGTGAGTTTCTGTTGGCTGTATTAGACTTCTAAATGTGTAGATCCACCTTAGTTTGAAAGCTCTTGGGATGCCTTTTTGGGAAAATTTTTATTTTATGCATATGAATGTATTGCCTGCATGTATGTAAGTGCACCCATGTTGTGCAGTGCCCACGGGGTTCAGAAAAGACTATCAGAGTTCCATGGAACTAGAATTATGGATTGTTGTTAGCTGCCATATGGGTACTGGGACTGGAACCCAGGTCCTCTGCAAGAGCAGCTAGTGCTCTTTACTGCTGAGCCATCTCTCCAGACCTGCCTTTAAATATAGATATTAAATAGCAGATAAGTGTTTAATAGTGCAATATACACTATTGCAATATTTTTGAAGAAAAATAACAGTACACATTTAGAAACATCTGTGTCTTTATCACCCCCAAATAACAAAAATCTGAATGAGATTCTGCTTCTGTTACCCAGAATTCTGAGTGATTTTGTTCTCTACTGTTTACAGAATCATGAAGAATGGATTTCTATATTGCTGCAATATGTTCTGAATCACTTTTTTTCTGGAAAACAAAACAGAACCTTGGAGGTGGATTATAAAGGAATTGAGTCATGGGGCCATGGTCTGTCCTGCCTGGTACAACCAGACACTATTTAGAGCTGTGACCAGGCTGGGGGAATGTTCTGTAGAACACTTGCCTTGGGACTCTGGCTAGCCTGTGACCTGTTGCCTTGCAGGCTCTGACCAGGGTGGTAGAATGCTGATTTTTTTTTTTTAGGGAGAGATTTTATGATAAATTTTAATGTTAAAATGTTTTAATTGGAAATAAATATGCTATAGTCTATTATTATAGTAATGTATCTAATTTACAGTTACTTTTAGGAAATGAACAGTATATGGACGTGTGTGTGTGTGTGTATGTGTGTGTGTGTGCTACTACAGCCATGTCTAAACAAAGACAGCTTGAATCTTAGACACTACACTTGATCTAGGCTGAGAAACAATGGTCTGACTCAGAATCCATTTAAACCATGACCCAAACTGTTCTGAAAACTTGTTCCTTCAGATTTCCCCCAGAGCTCTGCTCCCCCAAAAGGCCTTCTTTCTTTATTGAAACCATGCATCCATCATGAAATGGGGAAGGGAAAGGGAATCTGTGTTATCAAAGGCTTTGTTCTATCTGACCCCTACTGATCCAGAATAGCACATGCAGTCACAAACAGATGTTATTAGTTTAATTCCAACTGTTGTTTACAACATAAATGGGATAATTTGATGCCTTCAAGGAATATCTTCCTCATACAGTACTTGATATTCACAACACTCACATATATACACTATTCTGGGTCAAGGGCAAGGAAGGGTCATGAGTCATTAAAGTTACACATTTAGCTTACAAGAGGAACCCAAGGCCTAGTAAGCTTGTTTACATTATAAACAACCTATATAGTGTTTCTTTGGTTACAAGGTTAGGTAAAGGTCATTCCTTCATGTTACAATGCTATAGTGTTTATGCAGTTTTACAATTACTGTTAAAAAAAAACGAATGTGTGGCTGGGTGTGGTGGCACAAGCCTTTAATACCTGTCTTAATTCATTGATTGCTTTCCTTTACTATTTTGTTTTTTGTATGTGTCTGTGTGGTGTGTGCATATGTGTACACATAGGTATGCTCTCACCCATGTGCCTTTTGAGGCCAGAGGTCAAGTTTAGGTGTCTTCTTCCCTCACTCCCCACCTCATTTTTTGATACAGGGTCTCCCACTGAACCTTGAGCTTTCAACATTTTGGTTAGACTGGCTCCTTAGCAAGCCTCCAGGGTCCACCTGTGATTTCTGCTCCCCCCCCCACTGCTTCCCATTTCAGTGCTGGGGTTACAGGTGCCCCCTGCCACACCTGATTTTGTATTAGGGATCTTTACCTAGATCCCTAGTGCTCATGTACTTTACCCACTGAACCATCATCCCAGCCTCTAATATTTTTTTGAGTCAAGGTCTCTTGAAACTCTGGTTGGTCTTGAACTTACTGTGTAGCTAAGGATGGCCTTGAGCTCTTGAGCCTCCTGCCTCCACTGCCACTACACTGGGATTATAGGTGTGCCACCATACTCAGCTAATTTGTTTTTAATTAGCACATAATTGTACATTTTTTGGGGGTGCAGAATGTTAGTTCTAGACATGTGAATGAAGCATGCTGATCAAGCCAGGGCATATAACATCTCTTTCCTGAAACACTTAATATTTTTTGGATTTGGGAGTCTGTGTAGTTTTTTTTTTTCTTTAGTCTTTTTTCTATAGGGAGGTTCTCTCTATATATCCAGGACTGGCCTCAAACTTGCAATCCTCCTGCTGTGGTCTTCCAAGTTATGGGATTACAGGTGTGCTAGTTTTCTACACAGTACACAAGTTTCTATAAACTACAATTATTCTACTCTGTTGTAGAACAGGCAGAGTCTTTTTGGAAGTGTGCTAGGGATTGAACTCAGTGCCTCAAACACTCAATTGCTGAGCCTCACCAGCAGAGAACATAGCTATTTATTTTGTTTGTTTTTGAAAGAGTCTTACTATGTAGCACAGGTTGGTCTCAAACTCAGGGTTCTCCTGCCTCAGACTCCTGAGTGATGGAATTATAGGTGTGAGCACCTCTGCCAAGCTTGGCAGAACTTAAAAAAAAAACAAACTTTATTGACTTTTGTGAAATGTCATACAATATATTTTGATCATATTCAGACCCCTCCTCTATCTGCACCCCTCTTATAGCTCCCCCTGCCATATTTCATGTACACTGTCATATATATTAAGGCTTATTGAGTCAAATTTGTGTCCCAAATGCCCTTCATTGTGGGTCCATTCATTGGAGCCTGGTTAAACTCTCTGGCATCAAACCCTTAAAGAAAACTGACTCTCCCTCTCCCAGCAGTTATCGGTTACCAATAGTTCCTCAGCTAAGGTTGGGGCTTCTTACCTACTTCAATTCTTCCGTACTGAAATTTTATCTGGCTTCAGTTTGCATGGGTCCTCTGAACTCACAGCAATGGTGGTAACACATGAAGAACTTCCCAGCTGTCTGGCAAACTCTGTTTGTGAGTATCTACCACCTCTTGCTCTTACAATCTTTCCACAGGAATGATCCTTGAGCAGAGATTTGATAAAGGTGTCCTATTCAGGGATAAGTACTCTGTAGCCTCTTATTCTTTTTGATCCTTCAGTTTTGATATTAGCACATACAGTTGGTTCAGAAGATCTTACACAAGAAGTCTGTTTTATATGATGATTATTTATCAATTTATGTGAATCTTTCTAAATGAAGAAAGTCAAGCTGGGCATGGCAATTTGTGCCTCTAATTCTAGCACTCTGGAGGCAGAGACAGGAGGATAAGAACTTCAAGGCCACTGTCAGCTACATAATGAGTCTGGGGTTAGCCTGAGCTATATGAGACCCTGCCTTAAAAAAACAAAACAGAAAAATAAGTGAGTCAGTGCTGTCTGAATAAGACTTGTTAGAGCCAAGTGTTTCCTATAACAGTTCATCCACCTTCTCTGTAGATGCCGGCAGGAACTGAGGAGCTATAGGGTGTGTGTGGGGGAGCAGGGGGCCGGGGAGAGGGCACCTGGGATCAGTTATCCTCATTTTGATAGCAGAGGTTTGGGAGTGCAGCAGGGAGACCAGGTGTCACGTGCAGTAGCTCCCTCTGTGATACCTCTCCCCTCCCCTCCCCTCTCCTCCCCTTCTTTCTTTTGTTCTACTACATTTTAATTAATTAATTAGTGTGTGGGTGTGGGTGTGCATGAGTGGAGGTCAGAGGACAAATTCCGGGCATCAATTCTCTCCTGCCATGTGGATCCCAGGAATCCAACTCAGCTTCTCAGGCACCTTTGCCCCCCGAGCCATCCTGCTGGCCCTTTCACTTTCTCTGGCTCCCTGTTTGTTGACTGCTCTTTGGCACTGTTGGCCATCCGTTCTTGGCAATGTTGCTTGGGTTTCTTATGTTATCTTCTCCCAATTCATTCTCTTCTCCAAGATGCTCTTTGTTGGTTTCCACCGCGATGGATTCTCCTTCTACTTGCCACACCTTCCTCCAAAATTCGTCTTAGACTCTGTTGTCTTATAAAGATGCTACACATTTCTCAAGGGAT